ACTGTGCAGCATCCGAGATAATCTGAGGTGAATTTTTCGATTTGTGACTTAGGCGCCCAAAACACATCATCCTCTCCAAACTAATGTGTTTTAGCTGAAAAACTTTCTTACTGAAGAAACGAAGAATCACGAGCAAATCGTGTCACTAATGATCAGAACATATCCGATTCCCAATTTTAGATTTTTTCTAAGCTTTCGTCCATTCCTGTAACATCACCAGAAAAGAATTTTGAAATCGGTTGTCCGAGCGGTTTTGGTAATGACTTTGTTTTTTTTTTTTCAAGTGATTTTCAAAGTTATATTTTGTTTAATAAAAGAAATTCGAAATTAAACTTTTTTAGCCTTCTTTACACGCTAAGTGATTTCTTGATGCTGCCAAATCTTCGTACGCTACACATTCGTGAGTCATTGGCCCCGTTCGAGGTACCACCGTTGGATCAGATTTGCGCTCCCATCCAAGACCTTCGTATCTGCACCCATCGGATTCGTGCTCGTCATCTGCTGGCAATATGCCGTGCTCTCGCTACTACAGTGCGACGCCTTGAACTACTACTTACAGTAATCGTACCGGAAGGAGCTGGCACAGCTGAAGTTCGTCATTTATCCCTGTTGTACTAAATTATAGGTTGCTCACTTAGACTTGAATTAGCTAATAAATCACTGTCTGGTTTGTCAGCTGAGCACAGGACAACTTTCAAACATCGGTTGGCGGTCAGCTACTGGACAGCTTTACATTCGGTACGTCTGTTGAAGGGATTACCAGCATAATGGTTCTTCCAATAGAAGCTTTTAGCAAATCTTTGACCGTTGAAGAATGACTTTGATGTGTATCGTTTTTCACCTCCCCGTCTCGAATTTTGCTACTTCTAGACAATGATGAGGTAATTAGCCGATTAAGATGCGCAAGTATGTAATTAGGGAAAACGGCATTAAAACCGTTTGACCTCAAAATAGAACTTTAGCATCAATTATATCGGCATCTGAATGCAAATATAAAAACAGTGACGTGTATCAGGTGCCCAGTGCGAATGTGCGTTTTGCGCAGTTCTACTACATATAGCTAGAATGGAAGCCCACATTTTTCGGTTTGGACTTTAACTTGTCGTAAGGCATGGATGCGTAGTGAAACTGAATTAAAAGGCCAGAATCGCACAAAGACAAAAAAATCGTCCTAAAATTTCAGCTTTCTAGCATTTTTTATGCGTTTTTTGCAGTAATGCAATGCAAAAAACGCATATTGACGAGAGGTTGTCTG